ACAGGATATGAACAGGCACTTCATCGAAGAAGATATTCAGATGGCCAACAAGCACATGAAGAAATGTTCAAAATCCCTAGCTCTAAGAGAGATGTAAATCAAAACAGCTACAAGATATCATCTCACCCCAGTAAGAATAGCAAAATTGAACAGAACAGCAAACAACAAATGCTGGTGAGGTTGTAGAGAAACTGGAATCCTTATTCACTGTTGGTGGGAGTGTAAAATGGTGCAACCACTGTGGAAGGCAGAATGGTGCCTTCTCAAAAATTTGCAAATAGAAATACCATTTGACCCAGTAATTCGATCAATGGGAATATACCCTACAGAAAACAGAACTGCCACCCGAGCAGATATATGCACACTCATGTTTATTGATGCTTTGTTCATAATAGCAAAGAGTTGGAAACAACCTAAGTGCCCATCAACAAATGAATGAATAAAGAAGATATGGTATATTCACACAATAGAATATTATACAGCACTGAAAAACAAACAACTCCTGAAATATTATACAAAATGGGTGATCATGGAGGACACTATGCTAAGTGAAATATCTCAGTCACAAAAAGGCAAATACTGCATAATGTCACTATTATAGAACAGGAGTGATATGGGGGTTGGGTGGAAACAGAAAAGGGGGGATAAATAATGTACATGACGTTGAAATAGATGAGGGAGATAATTGTATAAAAGAAATATATGATTAGGTATTATTGGCATTACAGGCGTCCAGAATGAAAGAATAGTAGAGGAGACAGGGCAGTGGGGATTGTAGAACAATTTTTTTTTTTACTTTTCAAAGAGAAAAATGAACTGGAGGGGAGGGGTGGGCAGGAAGAAAAGAGTGCAACAATGAATGATTGGAAATCCAAAGTCTCTGTAAACTTTCATTAAAACAAAAAAAAATTTTTTAAACCCACAATACATATTATTATATGCAAATCAATAAAAATATTAGAAGGGAAAAGAAAACAAACATCTATACAACTGAACCAATAAATAAATTATGGTAACTTAAAAAAAATTAGTTACCAAAGTCAAATTTATTTTAATTCCTGTTATGGAATCATATTTTTGTAAAAACTGTTTAACCTTGCATAATTTATTACTTAATGTTAAATGAAATGAGATCTAAAAAGAATTGGTCAACACTGAAACATTTCTGGATGTAACATATGATCAAAACCAAAGGTAATATAATGAAGAAAGAAATTTAAGGGGCACTGAAGGCATTGGCAAAAAAAAAAAATTAAAGCTCAGAAATTGATGGAATGTCAATTGGCATGTTTCAACAAGCAGAAGCAACCCTAGATGTGTTCATCAGTCTATGTCAAGAAATTTAGAAGGTAACTACATGGTTAACTGACTGGAAGAGATTCATATTTGTTCCTATTTAAAAAGATCCAACTGAATGTGGAAATTATTGAAAAATATCATTAATATTGCATGGAACATCTCTGACATACTTGAGTCCCCTGGACACCAAAAGAACAGACAAGTCTTGGAGGAAGCACCACCAGAGTGCCCTTAAAGTCAAGAAGCTTCCTCTCACATACTTTGAACATGTTGTTAGAAGAGGAAGGCAGTCTTTGGGGAAAAACATCATACTGGGAAAGACGGAGGGTCAGAGAAAGAGAAGAAGACTCTCAACAAGGTGGATTGACATGTTGACTAACAGTGTTATAGCTGTTGTTAAGTATCACTGAGTTGGAACTGATCCATAGATGACCCTCCAGCAGATTTTCAGAGGCAGTAAATCACACTGGAGGAGTCGCAAGCTTTCTCCTGTGGATCTGGTGGTAGATTCCAGCGGCAACCAGTGTTGGCAACCATTTCCTTACCGCTGAACCGTCAGAGCTCCCTGACTGTAAGAATAGACTCAAGCATATCAGAGATGTTGAGGATGGTACAGGATGGGGTAAGGTTCAGATCTATTGTTTGTAGATAGCACCTAACGACGACAGCAGAAGTCCACAGTAAGTACTGCATATACTTGTATATGCACAGAAATAGAAGAATATAGACAAAATACAAGTTATGGTTGCCTCTGGCTAGTAAAAATGTGCATTATCTTTTCTTTTCTTTATTTCTTGTTGCTTTTCTACATTTTCAAACTTCCCACAAAGAAAATCTATTATTATTTATAATTTCACAAAGTTATTTTTAATAAGTCATGTCCATTGTATAAAGTTATATACAGACATATATAGTAATAATATATAATAAGTATATATGACATCCTATCTCCATACCTTTTCAACCTATATGCAGAACAGATTATCCGGGAGGCTGGGCTCTATGAGGAGAAATGTGGGGTCAAGATTGGTGGACGATTTATCAACAATCTGCGTTATGCAGATGACACAACCCTGCTTGCTAAAACTGAAGAGGACCTGAAGCGCCTGCTGCAGAGTGTCAAGGACTGCAGCCTACAATATGGATTGAGGCTCAATGTCAAGAAGACAAAGATTCTCACCACTGGACCAATTGGTAGCATCAGGATGGATGGTGAAGAGTTTGAGATTGTACACAGCTTTAGTTTGCTTGGCTCCACAGTCAACAGTCTTGGCACCAGCAGCCAGGAAATTAAAAGGGAAAGTTTGCTGTTAGGGACCTCTCCAAAGTACTGAAGAGCAATGGTGTCTCTCTGGAGACTAAGGTGCGTCTGATACAGGCCATGGTCTTCGCAATCACTTGTTATGCATCAGAGAGTTGGACAATGACCAAGGAGGATAGAAGGAGAATTGATGCCTTTGAGCTGTGGTGCTGGAGAAGAGTATTGAGAATACCCTGGACTGCTAGGAAAACAAACAGATTCGTCCTGGAAAGGGTTAAACCGGGTGGCTCCTTGGAGGCAAGGATTCTGAGGCTCTGTCTAATACTTTGGACATGTTGTGAGGAGAGACAGGTCCTTGGAGAAGGACATCATGCTTGGGAGGGGAGAGGGATAGCGCAGGAGAGGAAGGCCCTCTATGAGGTGGATTGATTCAGTGACTGGGATAAACGGGATGGGAGTGTCAGAGACAGTACGATTGGCACAGGACAGAGCAGAGTTTAGGGCTGTTGTACATAGGGTTACTATGGGTGGCAAGTGACTATACGGCATATAACAACAACAACATATGTAAGTATATAAGAAGTAGAATCTCAGTTATGTTTTTAAATGTGTGTGCATGGGGGTGTATAAGTGTGGGTGCACATGATATATTTGGGTTTTGGCTTCTTGTGTATTTTATTTACTTAATACATAAAATATTTTAATTATGAAAGTGAAGCATAAAAACTTAAAGCTAGACTTTATAAGTAATTTAGTATATTGGGCAATGCAACAGGTAAGAAGCTATTTGATAGGTGCTTTGAAAACATGTAAAGGAAAGGAGAGAGATCCAGTGTGAAAAATAACATATACAAACTTTATGAATTCTGTATGTAAACCAGTATAAATTATTTTTAAAAACCAAGTAAGTTCAAAAGAACTTTAAATTCTCATTGAAAGAACATATTTCATTTGTATATTTTATTGATTTAAATCTTCGAACAACTACCATTACGCAGAAATACTTTTGCCTTCATGCACCCAATGCCTTCATAATCATAGTTGATTTTCTGTTCCATTTCTAGGTATATCCATGCCAATACCAGTCTTTGGGCTACAAGATGACACCAAAGTCTTTAAGGAAGGGAGTTGCTTGCTCGCCGATGATAACTTTGTTCTGATTGGCTCCTTTGTGTCATTTTTCATTCCGTTAACCATCATGGTGATCACATACTTTTTAACTATCAAGTCGCTGCAGAAAGAAGCTACTTTATGTGTGAATGATCTTGGCACCAGAGGCAAACTAGCTTCTTTCAGCTTCCTTCCTCAGAGCTCTCTGTCTTCGGAAAAGCTCTTCCAGCGGTCCATCCACAGAGAGCCAGGCTCCTATGGCCGCAGGACTATGCAGTCCATCAGCAATGAGCAGAAAGCATGTAAGGTACTGGGTATCGTCTTCTTCTTGTTTGTGGTGATGTGGTGCCCATTCTTCATCACAAACATCATGGCTGTCATCTGCAAAGAGTCCTGCAATGAGGATGTCATCGGGGCTTTGCTCAATGTGTTCGTGTGGATCGGCTACCTCTCCTCGGCTGTCAACCCACTCGTGTACACACTGTTCAATAAAACCTATCGGTCGGCTTTTTCACGTTATATTCAATGTCAGTACAAGGAGAACAAAAAACCATTGCAGTTAATTTTAGTAAACACCATACCAGCCTTGGCCTACAAGTCTAGTCAACTCCAAAAGGGCCAAGGGAAAAATTCAAAAAAAGAAGCCAAGCCAACAGAGGATGACTGCTCAATGGTTGCTCTAGGAAAACAATTGGAGGATGCTTCTGTAGACAATGTCAACACAGTGAATGAAAAGGTCAGCTGTGTGTGATAGGCTGGTTGCCATGGTAACTGTGGTCCAGCACATTGAGCAAGTTTTCACCTAGCTGAGGAAATTAAAATAGATCAGAGGAAAAAATTGAGCCAGTCTTAGTGGAACCAACAATAGTATCAATACATGCCTCATTGTATTCTGTCAATGAAAAGCAGGGTTAAAAGCTAAAAACATGCACTTCTAAAGTATCTTGACAGTATTTCAACTGTGAGCTTTATGATATTTATTCTTAACATTGTAAATAGAATGTCTTTAAGATAAGTAGCTTTTATTGTGTAATTATGAGGCAATAAATAAATCTAAATTGATTTCTGGTTTTGAATGGAAACCTTGCTACTGGGCTGTTAATAGATGGCACTGGATGTAGTGACTATTAATAGTACTGTAAATACTAATAGTTATAAATAGTGAAAAGTTTGTTGATGATAGTGTCCTCTTATGTCAAGGGAAATTTTCTTCTGAAAACTCACCATTACCTTTACTTTGAAAAACAAAACACTAAGGACAGTATTATAAAATTTGTATTGCTAAAATAAATGTGTAACAACGTCTGTCATTCTAGAGTTTTCGCAGATGCCATTTTGAAATATTCATAAGGTTGCTGGCATTTTTGTCATGTCAAGTTAATTACTTTCAGAAGAGATGAAGATTTTAAATGTTATTTAAGAACTAAATGCTGTTTTTCTTCTACTTCTCGTGCTTTACACTGAATTTACAACGTGCTCTTGTTTAGAGTTATTTTACTAGGTCAACCATCAAAAGGATAGGCTAACACTTACCAAATACATGTTTAGAAATTTCTTTCTAAAGACAGCAGTATTGAGGCATTTGGTAAGTGAATTATGCATGCACTTCTTTGAGCAGTATGTTGACACAACTCTGCTGAAATTGAAAAATATACTCAGGTTGTTGACAGCAGTGTCTTAGAACATCTCTCTGAAAAGCAGATATTTTCCCCATTGACACCCATCAAGTTAATTAATGCTTTCAGCCTTATCCACTAAGACTGTTCAACTTGGTTCCACAATCATCTATCAAGTATATATATTCCATGTAAAACAATTTACTAGGTAAACAGGTTGTTGTCAAGTGGATTCCAACTCATGGTAATCCAATATGTATGAGAGTTGAATGTGAGCCAAAAGATTTTCAATGGCTGATTTTTCAGAAGCCTCTAGGCCTTTTATTTAAGTCACCTCTGGATAGACTTGAACTATTAACCTTTCAGTTAATAGCCAAGAGCATTTACCATTTATACTATTCAGAGACTCCCATTTGTTTGTTACTAGAATGTAAAAAATTAATACAATAAGATTCTTGCCCTTCAGGAAAATAACTAAACTGAAATTTTTCTTCTTAAAACAGAACTTATTTTTGAGGACCAGTTATACTTTTCTTCTTACTTGGTTCAAAAACAAATCTTTTTCAGCTCTGGGGGGGTGGGTAGTCACATATAAATTTTCTTGATTGTTTGCCATTTAATATCAAAGGAAAAAGGAAGAAAAAAATTACTTTAAAATTGTAATTAATTTAGAACTATAGACTTCAGCCTGAATCCAATCTATGACACAAGTTTCACACAAAATTGCTGTTAGCTCTCTCTAAAAAGTAATTTATTTTAGCATTATTCACTGACACTGCATTTCCTAATAAAGAAACAGATAATATTTTGTAGAAAAGTTTGCTAAAGAGATTAATAGCATTTAGCCACCCTGATATAGTATTGTAGGTTAAGTTGCACATTGTAACTGAATTAGATGTATGATATGGGATTACAATACCAAAGCATTTCACATTGAATGAGAAATAGCATTTTTCTTCTAATCCTTTTTTTAAAATTAAAAAAACATTTTTAAATGAAAGAATATTGGAAGTGCTATTTTGTAATTCGGACATGCATTAGGTCTATTTTAATGATATCCTTAGAAACACATTGTTAACTGAAAAGGTGGTTTACTATTTTGCTTACTATTTACCAGAATTGACAGTAAATCACTAGTACCAAACTTTCATCTGAACTGACTACTACTTAATGATTATTTGCTCTACTATATTTTTGCCTTTGTTCATAACTCTGTGTATTTCATTATATATTAGGAAAGATAACAGATTCTACCATAATATATTCAGTCCTGATCAGGATTACCATAAATACTGCTTGACTTTTAACTGCATCTTTATGTCTTTTTATTCCATATATATTGTGAATGTGTATGTGTTTCTTTACTCTAAGTATCAATCTAAGTACATATAGGCAAACCTGTATCTGTATATATGTACAGACATGTTCCTATGCACTTTATTCAGTATTTATATATTTATATGGAGGAAAAGCAAGAAATATTTATGAAACACTCTGTAATATGTCCATATGTGCATATTTGTGTTATGTCAGTTTTAAATGTGAAATCATATTCTAATGTTTCTATGACCTTCTATTGCTCTCAAAGCAGATTAAAGTGTAATGGAGGAATCAGCTCTTAAATAAACTGGAAGTTTGTCTACTTTTGTGGAACGACTTTAACACAATTCTATGATGGTGTTGAAAATAAGGATACACACGTCTCACACACACATTATCTATGTGTGTCTACAGTATATAAGCATTTTTTTAAAAACTAAACGTGCTGTCACCACCATGTTGATTCAGACTCACAGCAACCTTGTGTGGGGTTCCCAGGGTGTTTCCCAAGACAGCTTGTCTTTTTTCCCTCAGAGAGACTGATGGAAATGTCTACTTTCCAATTAGCTGTGCAATACTTACTGCACTATTATGGCACCAGGAACAAGCACACATACAAGTAGTTTTCAGTCTTAAATAAAATGGTACCTTTAGACTTTTTCATTTATTCTGGGAACTTCCTGCCTATTGTTTCTATCAGCTGCTAATAGAGTCAAATTCATTGCCAAACTATTTGTGCAAAGAAGAATTACTTCATAGGCTTTTTAAGATCATTAACTCCCAGAAGTCCAACCACTCCTCATTTTGACATGGTTAGCTTCCACGTAACTCTCAGAAATGTAGCCACTCCTCACTGGCGTCAAGTTCCAGGCTGTGTGAAGCTTCAGTGACCAAATGCTCCTCAGGCTTCAAGAGTCATTTCCCAGGGGCTCATTCCTCTCCCACTTCCATTCTCTGGGAGGCTAGTAACAAGTTCCATTTCAAACTACAGGCAGAACTGGAGTCAAGATTTGCAGCCAGGAAAGGCCTTGACCCACAAAGAATTTTTGCTCTTCACACAAAAATGCTTCTCCTCATCCACCTGGGCTGGCCCCTGGGCCGGGAACCTGCAAGCAAGCAAATGGTAGGTCTCTTGGTCTGCAGCGAAGTGAATTCCTTGCATCCTTTCCACTCCTCTCTGTCACCTTGCAAACTTGGGCTCAGAGCCAAAGCTCACCTCAGACAGTGGGGCTGCCACCAGGCTGTAGGCATGGTCAGGATTTTGGAAGGCTGCAGGGCATTTGAGCTGGTTAAAACTCACTGTAAACAGACAACACTAAATTCCACTCTGGACTAGAGAGAATAAGGAGCTTGGGTGGTGTAATGCATAGTGTGTTGCACTGCTAACCCTAAGGTTAACTGTTCAAATCCACTAGGAGCTCTGCTGGAGAAAGATAGGATGTAATTTTACATTAAAATTAATAACCTCAGAAGCCCAGTGTAGGGTCGCCATCAAACTGAATTGACTGTAGTTGGTGGGTATGCTTTGGGCTTAGATTGAGAAGAAGAGTAGGATGGGAAGGATCGGAGACCTGATGCTCAAAGCAGGAGGCACTCTTGAGTTCTGAAGCATATAGGTCCTTATATGGCTTTAAGTAGTTTTGGGAGTTGTGTTTTGTTGTTGTTATTTTTTTAATACTTTCTTACATGAGAAATTTCTAAGGAATTGATAGAGAAAGAGGAGTAGGTATAGTTCTCTAGACGTGTCTTTAAAGACACCCCTGGGTGGGCTTCACACTTCCAACATTTTGACTATAATTGAGCGCTTCAATTTTTTGCTCCACCCAGGGACTGCTTCCCGACTAATATGGCTGCCCCAGTGAAACCCCTTCCTTAAAGTTGTGGTTCTGTGACTATGGGGTTCACTCCTAGTCAGCACTGTCAAACTTGCGTAACAAATCTCCCTAATTTAAGTTGAATATTAATAGCTTATTTTATAAAGAAAATCATGTAATGCCGTCATTAGAGAAAACTTTGTTGAAGGCAAACTTAATTTACTTGTGGAACTCTGGTAACCCTGTGAGTAAGGACTTTGGCTGCTAACCAAAAGCTTAGCTGTCCAAACCCACCACTCGCCCTATGAGACAAAGAGGAGTGGGCTTCTTTCAAGATTCACAGTCTTGGGGACCCTGCTCTGTCCTCCCAGCTTGCTCTGAAGAGGAATGGGCTGTGAAGCAGGGCAAGGTTCGTTTGCGTGGCTGCACTGCCATCCCACGGTCATTTTTTAAAGTGCAATTTTGCTAACATCCATCAGCAACTGCTCTGAAAGAGAGAGCTAATCTCTGACCACAGTATTTACAGCCTTAGAAACCCAGTAGTGGGGGTCACCTGGGAATCTGTTCTGACTCAATGGCAGTGAAGTTTTTATTTATTTGTTTGTTTTACTCTTTTTGAATCAAACTAAGGTGATGATGGACTGCTTTTAGCAAAGGGTGCTTCTCTCATTTGTGCATTATGAAAACTATTTATTGTTAAATTTTTCTGTGCTATATGTAACAAATATAGTGGAGATTATTTTGTGTGCTGCTTTTAATTGAGGAAATTCCAAAATATTGCAAGAGTGAATAGTTGTAAATAAAATGTAATTTAAAATTAATGCATTTTTGTGAGTCCATGGTTGTGTCCACTAAAAAGAGTTCCCCACAATCTTCTATCCTAGCAGGTTGGGCATTCCTGGTATCATCGTAGTGCTGTTTTGTTTTCTTTTTTGTTTTACATTGGTTTACATACAAAGTTCATAAAGTTCACATACATGGTTTTTTCATCCTGATGTTTTAAGAGCTCAAAACCTGTGCTTCTAGAACCTGGCCACTCTCATGGTCAAGTTAGTTTACAGTCATAAGCCAGCTTCCAATCATCTGCAGCAAATAAATGCCCTTGCTTGCTACAGTGGGTTCCACACAATCCAGGACAATGAAAAGTTGCTCCATCACTTTTGTACATGCAAGTGTACCTATGGATATGTGTATCCATATACACACGCATGCACACCGGGATACATGTGAACAAGTGTAATACTAAGTGTGTACTCACACACACTTAAAGAAGATAACTTCAAGAATGAAGGTAAGAGAACAAAATAAACGAGTAAACTGGAAAAGTTCGCTGCTTTGCCATTTCATC